TCTATGAAGGAAAAACTCAATAAGAGAGTAAGAATTACAAAAACCGGAAAATCAGCATGACCGGCCAAAACTCACCACAGAGTAGAGCCCCTGGGCTTCCTCAAAAGTCGAGCGCACATCTACCAGTCTGGCTCCATCAGCCCCGGTAAAATTGCCCCTGGCTGGGATATGGTCTCTCGACCTATGCGGCCCCTGGCCGCGAACATGCCTTGAAGTACCTCCGACGGGAGAAGAAGTCGGCAGCAAAGAACCATCGTTCCTCGAGAAACCTTCGGTGGGGAAAAAATATGACGATGTAGGAGAGGCCTCTCTCCTAAAACCAGGGACCTCGGGCGCTACCGGCTCGGTTGATACATTCTCCCTGAGCCTCCGGGCTGGACTCGTCTTGCTATAAGCACCGTCACCCTGCGAGGGCTCTTTTTCGCTTATAATTATTGTTCGGCCCCAAAGTTGATGATTCTTCTCCCTCTCCGAGAAGGCACGATCTCGCTTCAGAGAATTCCCCAATTCCTACACAGACGGAATCAATACGCTTAGAAGGAGGGTGCTTTCCAAAAAAGAGCAAAATCGCATAGCACGTACCGTGGTGTTTTGCCTCCCATCTGCCCTTAGACAGATCTCGCCACTTACGACCATCATGAGTCAAATGGATCACCAACTTCCGAGCCCAATTCGTCATGTCGGGACCTCGTATGGCGTCCATGAAATTGCTGCATAAAGGGAAGGAAAAATGCATTTACGGAGCCCGCCTCTGCCATGAGCAAAACAAGCAAAACAACAAAGACACAAGTGTACCACTTACATGCAAAATTCCATTTCTCGGGAAATGGGAGGAACTCCATCGGGATAATGTCAACAGTCCGTACTCGGATGAATCGGCTCATCCATTCCCGATCCCTATCTTCTTCGTCATCAACAAAGAAAGGCCTGGTGGATTGGCATCAAAGGGTTAGAAGGCCTCGATGGTGAAAAGGCCGGTACAGCCTGATAAGAAGACTAAGGGTAAAATCGAGCCCTGCTCCCTCCGCAAAGAATCGCATCATCAGTACTATACGCCAAAACGACGGGTGAACCTGTGCCAAGGTAGCTCGATATTTTCGACAGAAATCGAGCACAANTGGTCGACCGAAGGTAGCTCGATTATTTTCGACAGAATCGAGCACAACCGTATCGCGACGGCCCAGCATAAAGGGGTACATGTATACGTTCAGAAACCCCTCGGCACGGTCCATAATGCTCTTTTCTGGGGAAGGTACCTGCAGTACTACTTTCTCCCCCCCATCCACAATCTTTTCTCACTAACTCAAGATGCCCCCCTCCTATCATAGAGGTAAGCTTCGAAGCATACTCCCAATGGCCCTGAACATTGGGAGGTTTTCCTGTAGGAAAATTCCCTCTCAAAGCAAAATGTCCCAAGGGCGGCCTGCCTGACTCCGGTGATGCCCCACCAACAAGGCAGGGATCAGAGGCGGAACTTCCTTCTTCTTGTCGAACGAATCCTGGCGCAGCAACCATAACTATGGCAAAATCAGAGAATTGGAGCGAAAATCTGAGCAAGGATTCCTAAGTTAAAGTAGTGAAGAACCTAACGCAGAGAGAAGAACTCTACGAAGAAGAATAAGATACTCAGGATAACGAAATCCTCAAAGGAGAGAAGACAAACCTATACATAGAAGCAAGCGGTGACTGTCCGCCCACCTCAAAGGCCAGTTAAAAATATTGGCTAAGCCATTATCACTTTGGGAAGATGTATCGGCGCGATCGCCTCGCTCGTTTTATAACCATGTCATACAATTTATGCGGCCGTACGGCATTTCGGGGATCAAAAACCCCCGAATCAACAAGCCTCGGGATGGTACCTGATCTTGAGGACCTCTATCAAAAGGAAGATAGGCTCTAAGGAGCCCTTAACATCGTTATAAGCCCGGAGATGGTACCCGATCTCGAGGATCTTTATGAAAATGAAGATAGGCTCTAAGGAGCCCTTAACATCGTTACAAGCCTCGAGATGGTACCCGATCTCGAGGATCTCCATAAAAAAGAAGATAGGCTCTAAGGATCCCTTAATATCGTTACAAGCCTCGAGATGGTACCCGATCTCGAGGATCTCTATCAAAAAGAAGATAGGCTCTAAGGAGCCCTTGACATCGTTACAAGCCTCGAGATGGTACCCGTCTCGAGGATCTCTATCAAGAAGAAGATAGGCTCTAAGGAGCCATTGATATCGTTACAAGTCTTGAGATGGTACCCGATCTCGAGGTCCTCTGTCGAGAAGAAGATAGGCTCTAAGGAACCATTAATGTCATTACAAGCCTCGAGATGGTACCCGACTCGAGGACCTTTGTCAAAAAAGAAGATAGGCTACAAGGAGCCATTGATATCACTACAAGCCTCGAGATGGTACCCGATCTCGAGGACCTCTGTCAAAAAGAAGATAAGTTCTAAAAACCTACTCATATGGGCTTGACCTCGAGTTGGTACCCTACCTCGAGGATTTTTGCTATTGCCAGTGCGGGTCATTTACCCGATCCTCCGGCCCCTGAGCTACCTGAGCCTGAGCCAAGTTTCACTCAAAAACTACTAATAAAACCTTAGGGCTATTTCTTGCCTTCGAGTCCAGTTAAACGTCCTCTCAGTTACTTTAATCCAGGGGCTATCCGAATCCATGCGAACCCTCGTTCGGGATCTATCTGCAACGCCTTAAGGTTATCTTCGCTCTTAGTTCAAAGTAAGTTTTCAGGTCGCCCGAGCTTGAGCGAACTCTCGCTCGGGGACTGCTTTCGAAAGCATAAAGGCTATCTTTATTCTCGGACGTCCGAGCGAGTTCCCCCTCAAGGACTATTGACGGGGTCTAAAAGGCTAGGTTTCGTTCTATAAATTTGAAGCCCTATTTTCACTCGGGGGTCCCGGCGGCCTAAGCTGGTATCTATCCAACCCGGGCTCAGTCCGAGGGATGACAAAGGGCTCCACTGGATATCGTACTAACCAATCAGGAGCCGAGGAAATACCTACACTCGGGCCCGGTATTCGGACCGATCGGTAGAGTCATGCACTTAGATCTTCACAAATAGCAAATAAAGGAAAAATTCCAACATAAATAAGAGACAAATTGAAGAAACTTCTTTGCATTAATAAACGTTGATTACAAAAAGCCCATGAAGGGACCTTACACATGATTACAAAAGCCCACGAGGGGTCCTTACGCAGAAACAAAGAAGCAAAAGTAACAGCTAAAAATCTAATCTGCTCTTGGGGGGTACATCTTCGAGAGAAATGCCTTCGAGAAACATTTCTTTGGGGCCCCACCTCGACCTTCCAAATGGAGTCTTCAAGGAAGACGAAGAAGCAGAAAAAAATGAAGAAGTGGCTTGGTGAAAAATTTGGCGAGTATGGGTCTCGCCAGTGCCACTATTGTGAAGCCACTTCTTGAGACGTTGCACCGGTGTGGGATGCAATAGTTAGTAGATGGCACCACCTCACTCCACGGAAAGAAAAAGGAGTAAAGCGTCGTACCGGGTAGTTAAGAGAGATGAGTAGAAGTTCATAGTCCGCATATCCTTTAATGCGAGGATTTGAGATTTCTCTCTCATTATTTCGGGCCAACAACAACAACAACAACAAACCAGTGCAGTCCCACTCAGTGGGGGAAAGCCCTGGGGAAGAGTCATGGCATAACTGATGAAAACACTGCCATATGACCTTACGGCCACGGTTTTCAAACATAGGAAATAAAGTTGGATAAGGATGAAAATAAGGAAGGAGTAGAAGAGCGATGGAATGAAGTTTGGGTTCAAGAAAGCCCCCATTTATAGGAATATGGCAGCGTAATCGACGGCAATCAATGCCTTTTTTGGGGAACGTAACCGACGGCGCAATCAATGCCCTTTTTTAGAAACGTATCGACAGGCGCAATTAATGCCTTTGGGAGACAGATCGTCGATGATATCATGGCCTTGATGATATAAAACGGCGGTGCATTGAATGAAAGACGCACCGATGGGACGCCTCAATTATCGCAAAAGCTAACGTCATAAGCATGACGTCATCACAAGAGGCTCGAGGAGATCGGCGTCAAAGCCGTTTCTTATCATTCTAATCTAAGAAACGCGGGGACTATCTGTATACGGTAAAATCAGAGGGCTCGACTTTATGATCGTTAGGGCACCTCGTAGGGGCCACCCGCGAAAGGCTCGGAGTTCGATCCTAAGGGTTTACGACGATCGACCCCGAGGCAATATGAAGCAGCGGTTATGACACGCTAGCGGGAAGATCCCAAGGACATGACTAGAGCTGACCTAGCCTATAGGCTAGCTCAAAATAGCTGTACTAACCTCATATCTTTGTAATAAATACACTTGTACCGTATTAGGATTCTCCTCATCTATAAAGGGGATCCTTGTCATTAGTGAAAAAGAAGACACACTACGTTCAATACAAGAACATTCTCTCTGCTCTCTAACTTAACATATTCTCTTGATTTCACTACTTACATTTATTGCTTATATTCATAGTGTTCTATTTATTGTTCTTCATTTATTGCTCATTATTGGTCATAAAAGGCTTCCATCAAGGCTGCCATAACTGTTAATCCTCCATCGACTGCCTTCAACAAGGCATCCGACTCAACCTCGAGGCCCCGCACGCGCTGGCTCGAGGCCCCGATTTCCCGCCATTCGGTTTGGTTATTACGCCGTTTTCAAGCTATTATCTTATCTTCGAGTCTCTCACTTAGCATCTATTGCCTAACAACTAGCATAAAACTATATCACATATTTTTAGAACCACAAAATCAAATCTAATTGTTATTACCATTTTCAAGGTAAACATTATCCTTTTTAAATACTCAGTTTATCACGTTTAGTTTGGGCTTATTACAGTATTCGAAAAGAATATAAGGATATTTTTTGTTATTAGGACTCTTTTCATTTTTTTCCACTTTATTTTAGTTTAAGAACAAATTATTGTAAGTAAATTTCTTTTCTTTAACAACTCGTAAAATACAACAATAGAAAAGAACAATTAGTATTGGAATATAAAGGTAAACAAACCCCAAGTCATTTTGAAGAAAACAAAGACTTGTGATGAGTTGACCCCAAGTCTTCCTTAGAAGTTTGAACAATACGTACTGCACACGCATTCACACATTCTAAGCTAAGTCTTCCTCTCCGGCCAACTGCACAGTAGTCATTAATTTTCCGGCAATTACTTCACCATCGATAAAAAAAATGGCACCAGAACCCAGTTACGCTGCGTATTTGAGTTTTAGCGAGACAGGAAATATAGGCCAAACCTTCGTCAGCCATTTGCATGGAGCTTTGAAACAAGAAGGGATTTACACCTTCAAAGATGATCGGAACCAAGATAGAGGAATATCGTTTTCAAAGGATTCGTCCAGAGCTATTGAAGAGTCCCAGATTATAGTTGTTGTCTTCTGCGAGAATTTTGTTTTATCTAAAGATTGTTTGGATGAAGTTGTAAAGATTATGGATTGCAGGAAACTGTTAAAGAAGATTGTTATACCGATATTCTACGACGTGGAACCATCGGAAGTACGAAGGCAAAGGAACAACTTGGCCGAGGCATTTGCTGATGATAGTGAAAATGATGATGAGATTGGAAGATCAGAAAGGGTGAAAAGATGGAGAGATGCTTTGAATGAAGCAGGAAATATATCAGGCTTTGATCTCCGCAAGACACATGACGGGTTAGTATAACTGTAATTCCTGTTAGAAATCAAATGGATTCAATGTTATATTTACATCTATGTGAGGAATCGTGTACTCCTTCCGTTCTAATTTATGTGAACTTTTTTGACTGGGCACGGAATTTAAGAAAAAATAAATACTTTTGAAATTTGTGGTACTAAACAAGTTAAAAAGGGGTCCAGAGTATTTTTTGGGTTATAAAAGCTTCTCATTAAGGGTAGAATTGTAAGCTTAAGCTAAATTGCTTCCAAATTTAGAAAGAGGTCATTCTTTTTGGAACGGATCAAAAAGGAAATAGGTTCATATAAACTGAAACGGAGGAAGTAATTAAAAAAATGAAATAATATAGGGTCATTACAGATCAATCATTCATATTAGAAAAGTTATTGATCTTATTTATTTCTCTAGAGAGATTCGAATTTGACGTTGAGATTCAGAAATGAATGTTCATTTAAGTAAGTTTACTCTATCTTTTAGGCATGTGCATAAAATTAATCTTGCAGGGGTCATGCATGCATAGTTTAACCTTTGGTTGTTCAGGAAAAAAGTTTGTTTTCTTTCAATTCATACTAGCAAATAAAATTTAATTCATTAATTTAGGTCATTTATCGACTGATGGATGAGTTGATATTGGAATTGATTCATTAATATTTGGTAGGAATGAAGCGGAATGTATAGAGCATATTGTGAAGGAGATTGTTAGCAAGCTAAGATCAGAAGAAGTGGCCGGAGAACGTCAAAAGTATGTGGAATTCGGAAGTAAATTCCTGTCGGAGAGAGTCATTGGCTTCACTCGTTCAGCAGCATCTCCATTCCCATTGTGTGTGCCTGTATTTTTTTTTGTGACCATTTATATTATTTAAAAAAGTGATCAAACTTTCTAGTCCAAATAAAAGACGACGATCGACCAATGGTTGGAGTACTTGGTGCGACTTTTTCTTTATATGTGGGGTTGGGGACGGTGAACCACTTGAGCACTCTAATGTGCTTTCTGACTATTGTTAGTGGGTACGATATACCACTTTACTACTCTTTATGCTTTGTTGACTGCAAATATTACTCATATTTAGTACTGTAGTTTAGCATAGTATTAGATTAGAAATATCTCCAAAATCATATATCAGGCTCTTGAGTAGATAGCTGCCTAATATAGTAATGTACTCCCAATTTCTATTGTATGTTAGGATGGTTTAACTATTATATTAGTAATGTACTCCTAATTTCTACTGTATGTTTGATGGAATAATTTTTATATAACTAGCTTTTTGCACGTGTGTTGCATGTGTATATCTAGTCATATAATAAAAAAATTTATAAAGCAATATCAATATTATCACCTATGTAGTTCCATCTTTTAAAACGGCACAGAACAATATTGAAAACTAACTCATCAAGTTTCGTGAGAAACACATCCGTCTGTGCATGTGTACAGTTTCTCAAATACTCTGCCAAGTCAATATCATGGCATGTAGAGGTGATAAGCACTTAAATCAGATAGATGATCAAGGAAATGCAAAATCCACACAACTGGCCGGATTCTCTCAAGTTTCCATATCCGTTCCAAATCACTAATCAGTATTCTCAATAATCGTGTACACCATCAAGAGTGAAATATGAGAGAGTGACCCTAGGGGGTTAGATCCGTATCCACGCGTTGCACGAACAACTAACGTGTTGCACGTACAACTCACGTGCTAATAATAGAACCTGCACGGACAACTCACGTATTGTACGGACAACTCACGTGACAATAACATTAATATATGAATCCACACGGATAACTCACGTGCCAATAACACAATCCTCCCGGTATGGTCATAGGCCTCCAGTCCAAACATATCATACCGGAGCAATTAAACAAGTATACATATATGTGATGAATGAATAACAATTCTCATGCTCATGGACTGGTATAAATGTGTCATGATCCTAAAACCGACCCGGTCGTCATGGCGCCTATCGTGAAACTAGGCCAGCCGACATAATTCCCAAATCAAACCGTTTTTCTATAAAAATCATTTTAAGCCATTAATTTAACAAGAAATCTCAAAATAAAGGTCTAAATAACCAGTGAGGAATAAATACACAAGCCCGACATCGGGATGTCACAAGTCACGAGCATCTACTAAGGTCTGGATACAATGAAGAGTCTAAAAATATACTAAAAACAATCTAAGGAGGATAAAAGGGAGAAAAAGCAGGGCTGCGAACGTCGGGCAACTACCTTGCTAACTCCGATGACTCTGCCACTGAGCAATCAACACCCGCTACCGGATTCAGAAGTACCTGAATCTGCATATAAGGTGCAGGGAGTAATGTAAGTACGCCAACTCAGTAAGTAATAAAAGTAAATAAAAGCTGAGCAGTAAGAAAACACGTAAACCACGTCATAATGCTACAGCAAATACAGTACATTTCCCAAAACAGTGCAGAAAACATTTATTTCGTAAATCAAACTTAGCTTCAGTAAAAAACCTTTTAAAACATCTTTCAATAGTTTCAAGCGAGTGATAAAAATAGTGAGTAAAAAAATGATAGAAACGTAACAGCCCCTCAGGCAAATCATGTATCATAAACTGCCCCGCGGGCATAGTATAAACAGAACCAGCCCCTCGGGCTCACAATCACTCGTAATCAGCCCCTCGGTCATAAGATGAAACAAGAACCGCCCCTCGGGCAACAATATGAAACAACAACAGCCCCCCCGGGCTACATCACATCACTCACACTGGGTACCCGCACTCACTAGGGGTGTACAGACTCCTGGAGTGGATCCTACAGCCCAAACGCTATAACAAGCCATCTCGTGGCATAAATCAGTCAGGCCCTCGGCCTCATAATAACAAGCCACCTCGTGGCATAAATCAATCAGGCTCTCGGCCTCACATAACAACTAGCCACCTCGTGGCATGAATCAATCAGGCCCTCGGCCTCAAAATATCATGAATCAGTAACAACTTGCTGCGTCGCGCAGCCCGATCCCATAATATCCTCACAACGCAGGCCCTCGGCCTCACTTAGTCAGAAATCTCTCAAGCCCCTCGGGCAACAGTATAACATGATGCTCAGCTCAAAATATCATTTAAAATATTAAAACAGAGTAAATATAGCCGAGTAATGAAAACAGTAGAATACAGCATGACTGAGTACAAGTATGAAGTCAAAACAGTAAGGAATAATAGTAAAAAGCCCCTAAGGGTCCAAAACAGTCGACACAAGGCCCAAACACGGCATTCATCCCCAAACATAGTAATACTTTCCAAAATAGAATAATATCAAACAGTTTCCAATTAAATACGCGACTTAATAGTTGTACGGGATGGACCAAGTCACAATCCCCAACGGTGCACGACCCCACGCTCGACTTCTAGCGTGTGCGTCGCCTCAAAGTAGCACAACGATGTGAAATTCGGGGTTTCATACCCTCAGGACAACATTTACAATCATTACTTACCTCAATCCGGTCCAAACTCTAGCCCGCGATGCCTTTGCCTCTCAAATCGGCCTCAACTCGCGTCGAATCTACCCAAAATCAGCATCATAACATTAGAATATGCTAAGGGAACGAAGCCCATGCGAAAATAATCAAATTGCATCAAGAAACCCGAAATTGGCCAAACCCGACCCCCGGACCCACGTCTCGGAATCCGACAAAATTAACATCAATGGGATCCTTTTCCTCCCACGAGTTCATACATAACAAATTTATCAAAATCCAACCACAAATGACCCCTCAAATCTCTAACTTTTGATCTCAAATTTCAAGCCCAAGTTTTCTTCAATTTCAACCACTAATTTCCATAAATTACAAGCCTAATCCGTGAAATAACACCATAGAAACGAGTTTTATGTTCGAAAATCTTACCTCAACGAAGTTCCCTTGAATTCCCTCTTCAAAATCTCCCAAAAAGCTCCAAAATCGATTTAAAAATGGTGAAGAAGAGCTGAAAATGGCGAAGGGCAAAATATATATGTTCTGCCCCAGCTAAACCGCTTATGCGGTACAAAATCTCGCACCTACGGACCGGCACCTGCGGTCCCAGGTGCGCACCTGCGTAAACCACTTAACAGCCCATGGACCGCACCTGCGATCAATAATCCGCACCTGCGCTATCGTAGGTGCGGTCAAACACCCGCATATGCGGTATTAGCCCCTCATGTCCAATTCCGCATCTGCGACCCTGGTGGCGCTTCTGCCTCAGGTGCGGTTATGACAGACTTCAGCAGCTTCAACTGCTAATTCCCAACTTCAAACCTCCTGTCAACCATCCGAAATCACCCCGAGGCCCCCGGGACCTCAACCAAAAGTACGGACAAGTCACATACCACCATCAAAACTTATACCAATCTTCGAAACACCTAAAACAACATCGAAACGTCAAAGTAACCACGGATTCAAGCCTAAGAACTTCAAAAACTTCCGAATTTCGCTTTTGATCAAAAATTCTATCAAACCCATCCTAATGACCTGAAATTTTGCACACACATCACAAATGACACAACGGACCTACTGCAACTTTCGGAATTCCATTCCGACCCCGATATCAAAATTCCCACTATCGACTGGAAAACGCCAAAATTCCAATTTCGCCAATTCAAGCCTAAATCTACCACGGACCTCCAAATTACATTCCGGACGCGCTCCCAAGTCCAAAATCACCTAACGAAGCTAACCAAATCATAAAAATCCAAATCCGAGATCGAATACTAAAAGTCAAAAGTTGGTCAAACCTTTCAAATTTAAAGCTTCAAACTGAGAACTGTTCTTCCAAATCCATTCCGATTACCTTGAAAACCAAAACCGATGATTTACATAAGTCATAATACATCACACGGGGCTAGTCATGCCCAAGAACTGGCGAGCGAAATGCAAAAGCTCAAAACGACCGGTTGGGTCGTTACATCCTCCCCCACTTATACATACGTTCGTCCTCGAACGTGCCCAGAGTTGTTCCGAAAACCATCAAATCGCTGTATAACCTTACCAAGCACATACCCGGGGGTGATCCGACGTCACCCTATCCCATATAGGTCTGATAACGCAACATAACTGAAGTTTCGCAATCCAACCAAGCCCATAAACCTTAGAACCAAATTTCCACTTCCGAAATCATCTATAAGGTCAGAACCTCACATCTATACTCTGAATAAGTCCAAACAAGCTGTATCAACCATATCCGTATCCAAGATGCAATTACATGATATACCACATAACTCAGACACTCGTAGCGATAACTTCTAATCACAGCAATTGCCCCAAACAACCGGATACCGATAATGAACCTATTATCAAATAAAGCCTCATTCCAACACTTCTCTGAACTGCAAATGATGAATGAAACACGTAGAAATCATAACCATTTCTCAGATCAACCAGTTATGGGGTTCGCTCTCCTCCGGCAAGGACCATAGTAAATTTCTAAGCCAAAACCCGATATTATCCTTGCAACATGCTGAAATCGAATTCGATAGTATTCACCCTAGGTCCAATGACCTCATCTCATCCACACGACTACTCTGCTGACATGACACCTCAACGCAATCTAATGCCACAACTCATGCAATCCACGCACCAATAAGCAACAAACCGAATGTACTCAAATAAGAGAGCTGTACAATAAGCTCACCAGTGCCACCCGAACGCAATGCTGAGAACTCATCATACATCGTAGAACCAGAACACACGAATCTAACCCGAAGGATCATACCTCCACATAACCTCGCTGCAACGCGCGACCCTATCCAAACACTGGTCCACATGAAACACCTCAAGTCACTATGCTCAAAATCAACAACCACGCGCAATTTGATGTCTAGTACCAAAAGCAAATCGTCATAACCACGGCGAAACAAATGACATAACACCCCACAACCCGAAAGGACACAACCGATATGCCATATACCGAGCAATACCCAATACTCTTCCCTCTCGAATTCCACTATGAGACCCCAATAGAACCGCACCATATGTGCCTATAACCAACAAATCATAACGCCTCACAATACGGAAAGGTAACTCATAGATCACTTCAAAACACTAATAAGCTTAATGACAATCGAATCAACACATCCCTCAACGATAACAACTCAGAGTCAACAAAGCCGACTCGATGCAGAACACATATCCATATTGGCCTACCAATGAACCCCTTGTCAAGGAGTTCCTGAAGCTGCTCCTTCAACTCCTTTAACTCCGCCGGTGCCATACGATACGGTGCCCGGCACCAAATC